TTTTTAAAAGAAAAAGAAATGATCAGAGCATTATCCGAAACCAATCTTTTCAATACCCAGAGTAGTTATTCAGATTTGTGATCCTTTTCACGTATTCTGTTTACAGGCTACTTCTGGCTCATCCATCTTCTAGAATAGTGCTATTCAAAGGGCAGTCTGTTGATCAGTTGCCACATAGTAATAACAAGAAGTTTAGGCCAGGCTGGAAATCAACTGCAACACTGAGCACATTAGTATTTAGTTCATTTGGTGTTTTCCTTTTTTCCTAGCAGAATATCCATATTAAACATACCAAATGTGTTCTCCTCTAATATGCCATAGAACAGACTTAAAATTTATTTACATAAAGCTTTAATTGATATGAAGCTTATTTTGAATATGGTATGAGGCAGGGGTCAAATTTTTTCCTAAGGGGATCTCTAATTATTCCAACATCATATATACAGCACACTTACTGGGAACATCATACTTACTGTATATATTCCCTTTTATAGATGTACCAGTTGTCTTAGGATTCAATTAGATGAATAAGCAAGCCAACAGTAGGATTTGAAATCGTGTCTGGATTTTTCAGCGTGAGCTGACCCTGTTCTTTCCTGTACTAAAACCAAGGCCGTGACCCACCTGGAGTTAAAAATCATTGGCAGGGTAACTGTTGTAACTCCTTTTCCCACGGTGGTGCCTGCCGTTCCGGTGATGGTGGTTCCTTTGGCTTTCAGCTGAACGGTGAGTGCTTTGGCAATGCACCCTAGAAACATGTCCAAGATCCCGAGCTTATTCCAGTCTCCTTTCTCTGTTGAATGGATGATGTCACTGATATCTGCCGGGGGGAGGGATTTCACACCGATGATGCTGGCCAGCCGACTTGGGGTTACTTCTGGCAAAACTCGCCTTAGTAAGGAAGTCACCTGTTAAGGAACATAAGGGGAGAAACTTCCCTTTTAAACGGGATGTTTTAAAGCTTCATGTAGTCAATGTCTCGCTGCCAACTGATGACTTCCAATGCTCTGAGAAGCAGAGATATGATTTAAACACTATTTTTAATTCCTGGAGTGGTCCGTATCACTGCAGGACTAAAGCCAAAAAGAGGGAAGCTTAAAATAAAAAATCTGGTCAGGACTAAATGGTCTGATACACAGAAGCGCTGTGAGTCAGAACACATTCAACGGCACCTAACAACAACAACAAAATTGCATGATTTCATGGTATCAAGGCAACCGGTAGTCAGAAAACTCTTTATTGCAACACATTAGTGAAATGTAACTTATTTTAATATTATTAATAATATTACTATTTTAATAATGAGTCAAAAAAGGTGGGTCTTTCCAAGGTTCTGCTTAGATTCTGAACACCGCCTCCGAGCGGTCTTATCCTCAACCCCTGTCTCACCACTGCCCCCAAGCAGGGAAGTCTGTTAAAATAAATATAGGCTAAGAACAAAGCTTAAGAAAACAAAATAGCTATCTATACCCTAAGGTGTACCCTACTTTGCTGGTGTGACTTTCAAGTAACAGAGCAAGCTGAAGGATAAATGGCGTGGCCAATTACCTGTCTCTGGACTCTAGGCGAGGCTGTGTGCAGCAGGGAAAAGAGGTCCTGCAGCAGAGTGAGCTGCTGCGCCAGGTACTGCCGGCCGACGTTGGAGCCGCTCAGCGCCAGAACCATGGACAGCAGCTCGAAGCAGTAAGCATCGGAGGAGGCGTCTTCGTCGTTCGGCTGAGAGTTGGCATTTTCTTTGCTTGATATGGCATGCTCCCACTCTTCACGCACCCTGGTGGCCTCCATGCGAATCGCCTGGACGATGTGCGCGCACACCTATTTTAAGACAACGCACAAAAACTGTCAGAGCTTGGAGGTTAACCAAAAAGGTCAATGGTTCAAACCCACCCACCAGCTGTTCCACAGGAGAAAAGATGTGGCAGGTGTGGAAACAGTACCACCCTACAGGGCTCTGCTCGCCTCTGCCCTGTCGGGTTACTGTTGAGTCACAGTCAACTCGACAGGAAGAGATCACTGAAAAGCAAGACAACAGTGTACGCTGATGCTCCACCTTTTACCTTTCCGCTCAGTTTGTGCCAATCTGACTCTTCGCTTTTCTCACTTAACACCAGCAACACTAAAAATCAGAATAATTAAACACTATCTAAACACTGATCATCTACGATTTACGTCAAATAAAACCAACTGCCCTATTTTTTTCACTCGTTAAGGCCTATTTTTTTCTATTTAACATTCCCATATATAATGAGTTTTATAATCAATGACAGTCACAATGTAATAGAAATTACAACAGGCAGTGTCGAATAAACTATGAAATTTTTCACAAAGATGATAAGGCGCAAGTAACTTGACGCTGTCATTTTAGGAAAGATTTATTAGCGTAGAAAAGTAAATCAACATTTTGTTTTCATTTTCAAGGCTTTTTAGTATTAGCCGGGCAGCCCATTGTAGGAGCAATGTGGTGCTGGTTGCCCACCCCTTGTATTTAAAATTACTAACACTACTTCAGTTACTACCTATGGTAATCGCTCAGCTAGCAACCACAATGAATGAACAAAAACAGTGAGAGACAGAACACAGATAATGCAAATGTAGTCTGACAGAGACGGATATTAGGCACTAAAATAAAATAATCTACCTGAACCTGAGAAGCAACCTTGAGCAGTAAGTTAAGAAAGCTCACATGCAGGCAAACTCTCGAAAGTGATGCAAGGATGTCCACACACTCAATCCTTGCTGAACAGGGAAGACACGTCCTGGTCCAGCAGGACCAATCATTGGGGTAGCCGAAAAAAGCCTCTAGAAACCTTGGGACCAATAGCAAACCCTAAACAAATGATAAACAAAACAGAAACACCCTGCAGAAGACAATGAAATGGCTATTAACTAACCTGTTTTTGTAAGTTGGTCAGTTTACTTCTGCTGAATATAATTCCAACCATGTGTTCTTTCAGGTCAGCATCGGATGTTGCCTTTAAGTAGAAAAAGAAACAGAAATGAAGTGGCTCCTTCAGTAAAATGGATGTTTGGCATTTCAAAGTGAACAATTTGCAGAAACATACAGAAACAATTATGCAGATATTTTTATAAGATGAAACATACAGGAGTTGAAATCTATAATAAAGAAACAATGGATAAAGTTTGAAGAAAGCAGCGTCAACCAAAGTGATTATAAGAAGAATAAAATTTAAATAAAAAAAGAAGAAAATTCCAGAACTTAAGAATCCAGACAGATGCATGCTGTCTGTTCATGGACTTCATTAATCTAGCCCACCGAGTCACTCTGACGCTATCTGCAACGTGGGACCATGACTTGTTCCCATGCTGCTACATTCAGTTGTGAGAAGAGCAACTCAAGAAAATAACGCTTGATTAAAAAATCACACCAAATGGGGATGACTGAGATAGGCTAAATCAGTAATTGGTAGGTTTTTGTCAACTGACCTTTCAAATGACTACAAAGATGATTAAGAGTAACAGCTAAAACAAATGAACACGTAGAGTAGTCGGCTGGGCTTCTCTTTGGAGATGAATGAGGTTTCCTCTTAGAGTGCCAGTTTAGAGCAAGTAAGTAAAGCAATGGATTTTAGAAGGAATTCCAAGAGCAGCTCTTTCCTTAAGAATTTACTGAATATGTGGTGCTTATACCAAGGTGAACAGAAATGCACGCCAGGCACGTACCACTTGGTCCTCAAGGGCCTAGTGCTCAGTGGAAGAGATGAATCACACATATAACTAAGTGCAGCAAAAGAGAACCCACGAGCAGACACATGGAGTTTAGAAGAGACAGAACTCTGGAAGTACACAGAAGGATGGTCCATGGAGAACTCAGGCATTTGGGGCTGGACTATGAGGGACGGGTTAGACGGGGAGGAAGAAGAGTAAGTGGTGGTGGGCAGGCAGCACAGTACAGGACTATGTTAATTTCACACACGTTCACATTTGAACACAACAGTCCAGGGCATGGATCAACCAGCTAGAGTACATATTAACAAGTAGGGCACTACTTTTACTGAGTTCCTCTGTTTTCTTCCTTAATTAAAGAAATCAAATAGGAACTGCATACCCAGGAAAGTCACATCACTCTTGTTATTTTCCTGAATAAAGGGAAGGACTTGAGAGAGAGGCGAAATCTCTAGAATACAAGTAAATACATTGTATACTTTTTCCTCTCCTTCAGGTGATGACAGCAGGGCCTTCTCCTCCTGTTCTGGGGTGGGCTCAGCATCTCCCGAGATGAGCTTTCCAAATACCTGGTGAGGCGCACGCACAAGAACATGAGAAAGAAAGGACAGGAAGTCACCATAGTGAAAACCAGGGGCCTCACCTGCAGTAGATGTTGCAGTTTTTAGTATATTAATCTACCGAGTCTGACATACATCAATCACTCTTTCTCTGAACTACAAATGCCCAGTGGAACACAGAGCCTTAGAGCGAGGGGAAGGCTCTTTTCTATCTCGCTAGACAGCTTTAACTGATAGCATTTCAGTTTATCCTCTGTGGTGAGGATCAGCAGGGAGGATGCTCACTTGAGATGTGATCAGTCGGAACACTCGCAGGGTCTCCGCTTCACAGTTTCTCTGCTGGGCCACACTGGCCGAGATCTGGCCAGCAATCTTAGTGCTCTCTCCATCCTTCCAGCCCAGCACTTTCACTTGTCGAACTCTCAGTGTGTTTTCTGGGCCCTTCAGTTCAATTTTGATGATGTGGTTATCGCCTCCTGGAAGCTCACTTGTGACCCAGCCAATGTGCCTGGAGTCCACATCCACCTGGCAGGGTACAAGGGGAGAGGGGCTGACACAGCTGTGCTGCGTTCACCACCACCCTCCACTTAGCTGCAGGGACAACAAGCCCATTACATTTGCCCCGTCACTCACATCGATGATCTGATTGAAGCCTTGTGAGGACTGGTATTTGTATGGTTACACAGAGGACACAACTGAGGCTAAGGCAGGAAAAGGTAAGTCATGGGGCACAGGATTAAAATCCAGGCCAGACTAGTTGACTGCTTCCCAGCAGAAGCTTGTCGGTGAAGCCCCCACAAACCACTCCCGTGACTGTACACTCCCCTCTATTGCCCTGAGTGGGGCCCTGCGAGGAGCAGCAACGAATCCGCTTTTGTATATTTTCATATGAAAGCATCATTTAAGAGATGCAGACTTGGGGTGTGCAGTTCTTTAATGTCTTTGCTGTTGAAGACAAACTATAGAATGTGTAACTTCACCCTTGGGTGTCCTTATTTTGTGATATTTTATGGAAGACATACATTTTTTCTTTTTTTTTTAGGTTTTATTATTTTTTTAAATCATTTTATTAGGGGCTCATACATCTCTTATCACAATCCATACATACCTCAATTGTGTAAAGTGCATTTGTACATTCATTGCCTTCATCATTCTCAAAACATTTCCTCTCCACTCAAGCCCCTGGCATTAGGTCCTCTTCCCCCCCCCTCCCTCATGAGCCCTTGATAATTTATAAATTGTTATTTTGTCATATCTTGACCTGTCCGACGTCTCCCTTCACCCACTTTTCGGTTGTCCGTCCCCCAGAGAGGAGGTCACATATATTTCCTTGTAATCAGTTCCCTCTTTCCTACCCACTCTCCCTCTACCCTCCCAGTATCGCCACTCACACCACTGGTCCTGTAGGGCTCATATGCCCTGGATTCCCTGGATTTCCAGGTTCCTATCTATACCAGTGTACACCCTCTGGTCTAGCCAGATTGCAAGGTAGAATTCGTGTCATGATAGTAGGAGCGGGTAGGAAACATTTAGGAACTAGAGGAAAGTTGTATTTTTCATCGTTGCTACATCGCACCCTGACTGGCTCATCTCCTCCCTGAGACCCCTCTGCAAGGGGATCTCCAGTGGCCTACTAATGGGCTTTGGGTCTCCACTCCGCACTCCCCCCATCATTCACTATGGTAGGACATACATTTTTTCAAGGAGCAAGTTTCAATATAGTATGAAATAGTTCATGATCATTTTTATTGGACATAATTTGACAACTAAGAAATGACTGAAGGTCTCTACGTTATTTATATGGTCATTCAAATTAATATTGATTTAATAAATGTCTGCCTATCTAAAAAGAGCACTTAGCATAAGCAAGCACTATCTTTAGGACTATTTCCCCAAATTCCTCACAAGAGACATAAGAAGAAATGCTTCCCGTAAAACATGTGAGGACATTTACCTGCTTGATTCTGCACAAATCTTCTACTACTTTGCCGGTTAAGAAGGTCATTGAGGTAACTTTATTCTAAAATAGACAATTCAAAAGAGTTAGTATGTAGTGCTCGTGGCTTAGGAAGTTCTGTTTACCTTTCATTGTAGTTTGGGTGTATGCTCAGAGAGATCAGTTTTCCACTCAACAATTTATATACACTGTGCATCACGCTGTCAGTGGCAGTCCCCTCCATGTGCCCCCACTCTTCCCACTTCCTCCCTGGGACCCCCACTTCCACAAGATAAGTAGCAAGGAGTACAAAGTGAAAGCATTGTGAGTACTGGAACGAGTCACACTGGCAGGACAGCCAGAGATCTTCAGGTTGAGTGGCTTTACACAAAGTGAAAGAAAGAGATTAACACATCAACCCCTTGGAAAGCAGCTTGCTGTAAGGCTGAGACCAACGTTCCCCCAAAGGAGTGCGTGCTTCACTGCCCACAGTGGTGGGAAAATTGGGGAACACAGAGTTACTGATGCCTCCAGGATGCATATATACAAGGGGGTTCAAAATGTTTGTGGAAAAATTTCACTATCTTTCGATCCCATTTTTTCTTTGAACTTTCTGAAGCTCCCTCGTATAACTTCGAGGTCGTGTCTTAGAAGGAAAGAAGGACTGCTAGCACACAGGGATGCTTAAAATGAATACTGCTGGGATCACCTGCTTTGAGAAAAGGGAAAATGCCAAATTAATGGCAAGCACGGTTTTGAGGGACACTGCATCCAGGCTTCACATGTACCGTGAAACAAAGATGGCTCTGGACTGAACAGTGAGTTGTAGCCAAGAAAAAAATGCTCCAACACATTACACTGTCCAGTAAGATAAACTAGTTGCACCAGTTGGAACCCTTCCACCTGAAGAAGAAATAAGCAGATTAGGTATCAGCCGAGTCCCTTTTCTGATTCGACACTAGGGGAAGGACAAGAGTTGGGGGAGGGCTGTGGACTTGAGCAGTGCTCTGACTGCAGAGACCACTGCTGTGGTGGGCACTGCATCCGGAGGCTCTGCCACCCGCCCTCACCCTCCGGCTTCTCTCAGGGAAGGAAACACACACAGGGGACACGAGCAGCTCAGCAATGTATCTGCCAGCAAGTCGCCACCTTTCAGATGGGAAGTGTCCGTCCCTGGGACTGGTAAAAGAATAAAAGGGCTGGTAGTTGGCGCAATTTCCTTCTTGGCTTCTAAACCCGAACTAAACCAAATCTGTTGTTGTCCAGCCGGTTCCGACTCACAGTGACCCCGTGTGTGTTACAGAGTAGGAACCACTCCGCGGTTTTCCTGGCTGACACTTTTAGGGATGCAGTTGTCGGGCTTTCTCTTCATCACCCTCAGTAAGACAGACGAGCCCCCGTGCTGTGCGTGGCATGCAAGAACACTGAGTCCCACTGAAGGCGACTAGGCCGGAGAAGCAAATTCTGAGTACCTAGGCTCATTCAGCTTTTTTCCTCCCATGGGGCTGGGAGGCGAGACGTAGAAATTGTAATCTAATAACAGCTTAAGTCCGAGAGTACTAATTTCAAGAGTAATAATGTAAGTCCAGAGGAAGGAAAGAGTAATTTTTATAGTAAATTTTATACTAGGTAGAGGATTTTTCTGTTGGGTTTTAGAGAACGTGTTAGATTCTGAGAGAGTTTAATAGGGTTTCTACGCCAAGGGAATAGCTTGAACAAGAGTATGGAGGTAGAAAATCATAAAGCAGGTATGTCTTGTTGCTTAGCAGTAGCTATGACAGATTTATAATCAAATTACATTTCTGGAGTTTGTATTTTGGAGAACCCCTAAACATATTTTTCTATTTTTAGACTGAAGATTCATCTTGGGGATGCCAAAAAAAAAAAAAGCTTGGTTTATACAGTAAGAGAAGAGAGACCTTTCTGCTAAACTACAAATGGGTGTGTGCTCACTGAAGCCCTGGGAAGAGGACTCAGGACCACAAACACAGCTTCCTCAGGCCTTACTCCGAGATCGCGGGAATTGTCCACATGGACAGACACATAGCGGGCGTTGATTCCTTTGACACAGTTGATGGTGATGTTCTTGGTTTTGTTTTTATCCTCATCTCCTGATTCCCAAAAGGTTTCTGTGGAGCCATCAGTCAAACTGCCAATCATGGCAGGTCGGCTTGATGTTTTAATGTCGACAATGCTGGTTAAGTCCTTCAAGCACATTACAATGCATGATTCCTGCCAAGAGCAAACACTCATAATTATAGTAATACTCAAAGGGAAAGTATTCACGAAATTTAAAAAAAGCAGACAGAAGAAAATACAAGTATGCATGACAGACTCAAATTGTTTCTGGGCAACTTAGAGCTTTTCCTTCAATTAATATCAGCAGAGTCAACAAGATAACAGCAGCTACAAACTGACCTGACTCATCGCTTCAAAGCCAGACTGTATACTGATGCTAAAACTCTCTTCACTATCTCCATCATCTGATTTTGACAAAATATTGTTAATGTGATGAAAGACGTTGCTTTGGTGGAGGAACTGGTGGTCGGATTGCTTGAATTTGAGACTCCAGCATCTGAAAAGCATACACAGTACTTGAAATTATTCTTTCCCACAAATTCTGGAAAAAGCTATTATTTTAAGAAATATTAAGCTAACATTTTAAACAATCTTAATGCTTGGGGTTAAAAACAAAACAAAAAATCACCAGGAAACAAAACTTTTGCTAGTATTCCCCACCCCCCCAACAAATCCAGTTTTTTTGGAGGATGGTAAACTATAAGGAACATTAAGTCTATTTTGAGCATACTTATTGGGTCCATGAAGAACAAGGGTACCCAAACAAGAAAAGGTAATGGATATTTTAATTTTATAATTATATCTAGGTATAAGACATTTTATGCTTAAAAAACATTTTAGGGGAAAAAAACCTTCCTTCTGCTTTATATCTAAGGTCATAGGAAGGCACGTCCACCAACCTATTTCTTTACACAATCAATAGTGAAATTCCTTCTACAAGGTGTGGGCTAATCTGAGGAGCTAAAGACAAGGTTCCCATTGTAAAAGACATGCCCAATCTCAGGCTGCTCTGCTCCAGTGTCAGGTTCGTGAGGCCCCGGAGGGAGCTGTGCACACACGATCCGTTCTCCCTGGGGTTCTTTTACGTCCAGCACCGCCTCTTCCCTTCTGTCCCTCAGCATCCATTCTCCCTCTCGGTTTTGGTGACACTTACTCCTACTCCCAGGCGGCACTGAGGTAGGTGCTATCACGTAGCAGAGGGGGAATGAGAGACTGCTATAGACAGTGAAAATTTACCCAACTTATGAAAAGTGGCAACTTATCAACATTATCTCAAAGTAACTACACTTGTGTTTTACAGAGGGGCAAACAGGTGTGAGACAAGAGGGCGTTTGATTACAAATGCTGACAGCAAGGAGGGAGGCACTGAGTACACAATTTCAGAATTCCATGCAGCCCAAGACTTAAAAAGGTCTTTCAAGCATTTTGTATGCTCAGCACTCCACAAACTCTCTTCTCCGGTGTGCCCAAGTACTTGATAGAGAACTACCGTAGGGCCATCTGCTGTAGTGAGCTGCCACTGGGGAGGGACATCATGAGGTCGGAGATGGTCTGCAGCAAGCGGTGGAAGGTGTGTGGCAGCGGGTGCGCGGCTTCCCCGGCGATCACTATGTCTGAGAGGGGGTGCTCACACACGCGGGTATCCTTCTCCTGGAATAAAAGGTGAAGGCTAAGGTTCAGGCTGCCTTCTCCACAAAGAGCTGCTTAGATTCTGATTTTTTAAAAGATATTTGTGTAACAAAAATGCCGGATATACTCAAGTATAACCCAACCCAAATATCAGCCGCTGCACCTAATTTTACCATAAAACTGCATTAAAAAATGTGCTGAAAAACTCGGCTTATACAAGTGTATATATGGTAAGTCATAGTCCAAACCAGACTTCCAGTGAGATGAACTAATTTTGTTTGTATTATTATTTTTAGGAACAAGAATCAGAAGGCTATTCATAATCACCAAGGAAATAAAGGCCACATGAACACATAGATTCTAGTGTAATCACAAATCTATTGGTAGGACAAATCCGTATCTCATGTATGTATGAGCACACGTGTAAAGGTAAACACATTTACATATATGCATATATACATGCACAATACTTATTATGTATATAAATACCTACAAAACCACAACCAAACTCATTGCCATCAAGCCAGTTCCGACTGTTCCTGTGAATGTCTGAGACTAACTTCTTTTTTTTTTTTAATCATTTTATTAGGGGCTCATACAACTCTTATCACAATCCATACATACATCAATTTTGTAAAGGAGACTAACTTCTTATGGGAGTAGAAAATCTCATCTTTCTCTCATGAAGCAACTGGTAGTTTTGAACAGCTGACCTTTTGATTAGCAGCCCAATGTATTACCACTATGCCATCAGGGCCCCATATAAACACCTGCAGGTATATGCAAATATATGCCTATACATGTGCATGTATTTATATACATGTATATGGGTGCATGTTTGTGTTTACACATGAGAAACATAACATGTCCTTTGAAGTTGGGGTTACCACTAGTCTATATGGCATTTTAGTACAAACTAGGGGAATAAAAACTCTACTTCTTTTTAGCAGATGGACCATGATTTGTAGATAGAAGCAGGGGTTAGATTTCATTCTCCTGTCATGCCCTCAGCCAGATGGCCCTGTTAATGATATTATCTGTGGACTAACAATTACAAAAGAAGACTAATATAGTACTTCAAATCTCAGCAGAAAGGAGTCTGCTTAATATCAAGAAACAGATCCAAGTAGAGTGATTAGTTAAAATTGGTATCTTAGCAAGAGCAAATTAGCTGTGTTTTCCCATAGAAAGCACAAACAGCCCAGACCTTGGTGGGCGACCACATGGAGAGACAGGGGAGTAGTGGTGTGAGACCGGGCACACACAGGGGGTGCAGGGACTCTTCGGCGGGCTCAGCACGCGCTCAGTCAAATGGGGTGGAAGCTTTGCAGTTCCAGCCCATTGTGCCACTGTGGGACTCCAGCCCCGTGGTGGCCAGTTCACTAGATCTGAGAGTAGATGTTCACAAACAGGAGAGACCAAGGTCCACCTATTAGTTTGTACCTTCAGGGTGGTGCAGGACTAAGTGCTCATATGCTAACTGAAAGGTCGGCAGTTTGAACCCACTAGTAGCTCCACAGGAGAACACCAAGGCAGTCGGTGTCTGTAAAGATGTACAGTTTTGGAAAATTACGGAGCAGCTCTTCTTTGTTCTAGAGGGCTGCTGGGAGTCATCACAGGCGTAGCAATGGGTTTGTTTTGTTCTTTGTGTTTCTGGGGGGTTTTTTGGACTGTGTGTTTGAAGTACAATATTCCTACTTAAAAATGCTGTTTTTGTATTTTTCTTCTTAAACACTAGATGAAAAATAGAGCTGGGGGCTATCAACCTCTAGGCTTTTGCTTCTTTAGTGGCTTTTGGGCTTGCCTTTTCCCCTAGAATTTTAGGAACAATTGTGGTCATTTAGAAACAACGAAACTACCAGTGATAAGCACAGTCTGCTTAGATTCTGATGTACCCTGTATAGGCCTTTTCAATCAATTTACGGGGGTGGGGGAGGGCTTTTCCTTAAACACAATCAGATGATCAGATGTTTGACATTTCTAGATCTCACACCCTCCATTTCTGCTAGCGGTGCTTTCAGGTTTAGGGAGTCATCCCCCATTGACCGGAGAAATCTATCTTGCGGCATGTATTCAAAGTACGGCATCTTGTCGAAAGCACTCTCTCTCTCTGATTCAAATGCAGACCAGAGATCATCTAAAGTACATTATTGACTGGTGTCGTACAGTGTTTAAGTGATCCATAAATATGAGGCAATCACACAAGCACAACGGTTTGTCCTTTCCTCTGCTGCAATTGGCAGTGTATCTCAGAGATAACCCCTTATCGAGATGTTTATGTAACATAACGTTTTCCCTCCTGAGCATGAGTCCAATGAAAGGAAACAGACTGTATTTCCCCGGTCTCATTCAGTATAATCATGAAGGCTCTTTTCAGTCTTTTCGTTATGTAAATAAAGTGTGTAAGGAATCAACTCATGCATTTGTCATATCACACATATTTATATATGATCAACTCAACTCATTGCCATCGAGTTGATTCCAATAACCCTACAGGACAGAGTAGGGCTGCCCCCCGTGGGTTTCCAAGACTAACTTCCTACTGGAACAGACAGCCTCTTCTTTCCCCTGAGGAGCAGCTGGTGGCATTGAACTACTGCCCTTGAGGAAGCCACTGTGACACCAGAGCTCCCTGCATATATTATAAGAAAAATCGAAAGGGAAGGAATCATTTTAAGTTACTTCTCCATAGCACAGAAGTATGTTTCTCTCCTCTAGAACTTACACCTTCAGTTTCTGTCTTCTTGTATGTACCTCCACTGGTAAAAACAAGTGTAGAGTTCTCCCTTATCTCTTCTAACGAAGATGGAGGCTTGCCCTTATAGGACATTCTGTCAAGAAGTTTTGTTTTTGCCTTACTCCCAATGTGCCCTGGAGGCACCATCCGGGAACTGTTGGTCTGCTAACCACAAGGCTAGTGGTTCAAACCCCCTAGCTGCTCCTTAGCAGAATGATAGGGCTGTGTGCTCTTGTAAAGATCGACAAAGCCTTGGAACCTTATACTGGGAGCCGGGATCCACTCGATGGTTTGTTTTTTTTCCTTACACTCCCGTGTGGTCCTCCTCCTTAGGCCTGCAGAGTCTCGCCTGCATCCCAGATGTGCTCACCACTCTGTATTTTGGCAGCAGCAGACGTTGAGTGTTTCCTCAGCTCTGAAGGTAAGAATCTGTGCAGTCTTTTGCTTGCAATGATCGGTTCGGCAGCAGGTGGCCCAGCCCCCACCTTGTATATGGTTAAGTGCTCAGCTGCTAACTGGATGCTGGCTGCTCTAACCCACACAGCTGCTCCACTGGTGACGAGCTCCAGGAAGGGCCACAGCTTAGAACAGTCTATGGTTAGTTCTGGTCGGTCAGCTGGGCTTGGCTAAGAGTTGAAAGCTACTGGAGGTCATCTACATACAACAGCATGCAGTTTAGGAGCTCTGGTGGTATCTTGGTTACATGTTGGGCTGGTAATTGCAGGGTCAGCAGTTTTAAACCATTAGCTGCTCCATAGGAGAAGGAAAGGCTTTCTATTCCCACAAAGAGTTACAGCCTCCAAAACACACGGGCAGTTCCACCCTGTCCTATAGGGTCGCTATGACTTGGCATCAACTTGATGGCAGTGAGTTTTGGTTTGGTTTTAGAACCTAAAGAGAATTTTTATGCAAAATTTGTGGACTCTTTTCTCAGTAGCTTCATTCTTTTAATTTCCTGCTTCCCAAACCTGAGCTAAGTTAGCAGTTCCAGACCTGGATCCGTATTTCTCTGCCGAACAAGACTAAGTCTCTTGGCTCGGACTCTTTTCCCCAGATTATGAAATTTACTTTCTAAAGTCCCTTTACTTCTCTCAAGGAACACAGCCTTACACAGCCTATGAGCAGTTGCTTACTGGGGCAGCTAATTCTGATACCACCTGTTTCTTCATAGCTTTAAGGAGCATTTTGCTCATCAGCAAGCTGCTGCTGTGTGTGTGTGTGTGTGTGTGTGTGTGTGTGTGTGTGTGTGTGTGTGTGTGTGTGATAAAATACATATGCAATTGAGGAGCTGATACCAAGGGCTTAAGTGGAGAGCAAATATTTTGAGAATGAGGGCAACGAATGGACAAATGTGCTTGACACAATCGATATATGTATAGATTGTGATAAAAGTTGTATGAGCCCCCAATAAAATGATTAAATATATATATAATCACATCGTAACTTATCTGTCATACGTTTGCTCCATGATAATGGACTTTTAACAAAAAAATCTGATTTGATGGGCAGCATCTCTATCATACATAAATCTTACATTAAACAGAATGAATTCTTTGTCCACAGCATTCCAATTCTATTTTGCATCCGGGTTCTATAACCCGTGAACAAGCTCACAGATCGATGTGCTATCTGACGCTGGAACTACATGTCAGCAGAGACATGGACACCTTCAGCAAACAACAAAAAGACCTCACCTGTTCCGTGGTGCTTTCTTTGTTCGCTTTATTTTCCTCATCTTCTTCTTCCTCTGGTTCCACCGGAGCAGGGGTCAGTGAAGCCACAAAATGCCACAGAATGTCATGGAGAGACGTTGTTTGGATGACATTACACAGAAGCCAGTTGAAAGCCTGTGTAAGTGATGAGTGAGGAGTTCATGATAAGAAGAGAATGCAACACAGGACTGAAAAACATAGGGCTTCTCTTACCCTTACTCAGAAACAATGCTAATCCATGGATTAAGTGTTTTAAGGAAAGATACTAGGGAAATTTGACCTTATTTCAGTGAAAAGCACGGTAAATTTGAGACAGTCACTAATTCTCATCTTTGGTAATAGGAAAAAAGAAGACTTAGGACATGATGACAAAATGATCTCTTTCAAACCCACTCTTTATGGAGAAATGTCTGGGATTTTATTTACTCAAGTACACATCTTTCTGCCAGTTTGCATTTAGCAACAACAAAGAATACTTTTAAAGCTCGACATAAGCAAACCTGGACTTAAAAATATTTATATTATTCCTATCAGCAAAATGACAAGTTGCTTACCTCACACATAACTACGAAGAGAGATTTATTAATGTGAAGCATGTACTGTGCAGCCATCCCCGGAGACTGGAGGCTCCAGGCACAAACTATTACTGGTCTGCTCATAACTTGAGAGTCCTACGTGCCCAGCGCCCAACTAATGCACCTTCTGAGTGCAGAGAGCTCCGAGTTCAAATGATAGGGCCATACAAAAATAGACTGCATCGCGGTGCTTCAGTAAAGAATTCTAAATTTGCTTGTGTTCATAAACTTAGTTTAACTTTGACATTATTATGTGAACCCTCAGTGTTTGCCGCTGGTCAACGGCTCTCAATGTGTCACCGTTTTTGCTTGGTAGGAGAGAGGGATCATTGAATAAAATCATTACATATTTGGATTACTCAGTGAATTAACAACTCTGGTCATGTACACATACCTCCATAGCAAAAACTCGACAAGCAGATTTACGTAAGGCCTGTTTCATGGCTATTTCAAGGCCTTCTAGATCATGATGCTGTATAACGAAAGCTAAAACTGGCCACTGGAAGTTCCGCTCTCCTTTGGACAGAGAGCTGTGGGCTGAGATCAGTCGGGAGAGCTCAGGAGATGGATGTCGCAAGAGAGAAGAACCAACTTCTATTCAAAAGAAAGAAAATCGTTAACTTGCAGAAAGAGTGTACTAGATTAATTCACTTAGGATGATATAGAACCAAACCTTAAACATTTTGTAAATGTATTTGGATATTAATAAAATAATAGTATTGAGCTTATTCACTTAAAAAATCACCGCTCCACCTCTTTTCACATTTGAGACAAATCATAATTATTTCACATTTTATGGAAGAATTGGGTGAAGTTAAGAAAGATTAAATGTCTTAATTTTTGAGAATCATACAGGCATCAAGATCTATAGGGGCATTTATAATGTGGGACTGAATCTAAAGTTCCTGTTTTCTAAGCCACTCTGAAAGTGATTTGTTTTCTCCTTCAAGGTACTCTACATCTGCTACCCAGCATTTTCTGTAGAGCTCTCCTGCAGAAGCTCCTCGATGCTTCTTAGCCGATCCTATCACCTGTGGGAGGATGCTACATTACAACTCAACTGGAGATCTGCAGAAGTGCAGAGTGTCCTCCCTTCATTCTTAGGCCAAAGACTAGCATCTTAGTGCCTGGACTGTGGGGATTCACCCTCCTGATATGCTCTTTAACTTGGGTGTCTTTATTTCTGAGGTAGAATTCCTCAGCCCCACCTGGGAGCTACAGAAATCAACTGGTTCTGATTACCTACCATTTTACTGCTTAAGAGCTACTTGTCTCCCCCAAAGTTTTATCTTTTCTTCTTCTTTTTTTTTCTTTTCAGTTTTATCTTTTCTGAATGGCAGTAGATTCCAGTTACAGGATTCTATGGGGTAGGGAGGAGGATCATTGAGACTGTGAATCACTGCAAATGCGGGTTCACGGACACTTTGCAGAAGGGGTAACGCCAGATGTCTAACGGGAGGTTTTAAAGGCCAAGTTATCCTTGCTGAATCACTAATGTAAGATTCTGAAAGGCACATTGTGGAGGTGTCACACCAGGAAGAATGCCGCACACAGTTTAAAAAGTAATCTACTTCTTACCCTTCAGATATTAGACGGGAAAAACAACAACAAAATAACCTCTACATGTAACAATTTTTAATTTCCTTTTAAAAAATTTTAGTGGTTGAATCATTCAGTCACCTATTTCACTTTTGTACTCACCAGTGTCTCCACTGTTAACTCTTCTCCGGGGAATGGCTTTAACTCGGGCAGGTAGAATGGAGTGCTGTTTATCGTACTCAGAAGCAACGACCGAGTATGACCTTTGGAAGACAGTCCTTTTTGCCAGATCAGTGTCAGTTATGGGACTCGTTTCCAGGCTATGAGTAGCACAAGAATGACAGATTGGGAGGAAAAACACAAAAGGTGACAGGTGCTCTATATTTGATAATTGTACAGTCACATATGTAAATCTAGGTGTCAAGTGGAAAAACACAAGCACAGATCAACTTGATAATCTCTCCTTCAATCAGAATTTGATCTTTTAAAATGAAGCATCATTTTGACTGATGTCAGACTCTCTCAAAATTTTTCTTAAGTATAATTTATTTTTAAAATGAAAAAGAAAGGAAACATATCACAATGTTCTCAGCTCCTCTTAGAATAAAAGGCACACGGGGGTAGGGGAAACTGGGAGCCTAGCTATTTATATGTGTATGGAAGGGAAAGAAAATACATAGGTCCATAAAAAAAGAACACACACACACATATCAAAACAAACAAAAAACCCCAACAACTAATGACACACCAATTCCGGCTCACGATGGCCCCACGTGTACCAGGGTTTCCAAGGACTGACTTTAGGGAAGTACATCGCAATGACTTTCTTTGAAGGAGCCTCTCTGGTAGCCTTGAACTGGCCACCTTTCAGTTGGTGGTCAGCACACTAACCAATGGAACTGCCTGGAGTCTCTGTCAAAGCCTCCGTGGCAATCGTGGGTTATGACGTGGGCTCTAACCACAGCTGCTCCACAAGAGGCCGAGGAGGCCTTCTCTCCCTTTGGGAGCAAGTCTGTCTTTCACCACACGGAGAGGGAAGGACGGCCATACCTCGGAGGCATAGACTTCAGATTGCTCTCTGGCTCCTCAAACACATTCGGGCTGGCATCAGGAGTCACCGAGATGTACGGGGCAGGGACGGACGTGGAACGAAGATACCGCATCTCATCCTGGAATAGGTTGTCATCTTGATAGCCCACAAAATTTTCATGATGATGCCTGCATTAAGTCAAATCCAGTCATTGAACAATGATGCCAGTACAGAGCCTTTCCATTTCCAAATCGCTTTCATAAAAACCAGTGCTTGTCAATCTGTAGCTAAAGATTAACAACAGGTGAAATATTAAATGACCTCAGAGGTATGCACATCGAAATAAAAGGCAGACAGTTTCACACATACATAGATGTTCCGGATATTAATCACACTACCCCTAATCTGAACATGGCTCCTTTTCTGGCATTCTCTGAAGGGATCCATCTCCCAGTATTTTTGTGAGTGATCCCAGGAATTAACTGAGTGCTTGGACCAAAGGAAATCTCCCAATGCCGGAGTCACCCAAGGCTGTGAACACTGGGCTTCCTCCCTCTCACAACTGTACCTCTCCTCTCCGTGCCCATCGCAACTGCCTTAGGTTCTCACCATGTGTGACCTGGAATGAAATACAGGCACTCCGTGTTTTTTTTCCAATGTTTCATAATTTGTTTTTTTCTCAGATTACCTCTTCAAGTGGTTCAATAAAGCTAAAACTTTATTTCCGGATGAGTAGCAGAGAGGCCTTGTAATTGCAAAGCAGTTCATGCATTTCTCTGCTTAAGATTCTTCATGGTTTTGCCTGGAAGGGGATATAACCCAACCGTGGCAGGGGCGTTAGGGAACCCATTACCTGGTCTGGGAAACCATTTCTAGCTGTATCTCACACATTTTTTCACAGCAATCGATGCTCTGACAAGCCTGTAATTCCTCTCATGCATAATGTTATTTTAATTTTGTCTTCATACATATGGCTTACTCTGTTAGGAATCCAGCATCTGCCTGACAGACTTCTATTTACCCTTCAAAACTCTGCCTTAGTGTCAGATCCCCTGGTTCCCTTGGAAGATTGAGGTGCGCCCTGCTAACTGTGCTTGACTAGCACCCGACATGCACACAGGGCTTCACTGTGAGGCGGAACCGACCTGTCGGCAATGGGCTTTGTTCTAGTGAGTTTACACATACTTCTACTGATCGACTCTTCACACAATATTTTTAATGTTTCTTTCACTTCCTGTCAGAATGTTAGTAGGGCTTTCTTTATGCTCACCTTGATAGCGTCCGGGTCTACCACCATGCTGGTACCCAGTTTTCATGTTCATTAGATCGTAACAGAAGGAACACTCTCACCAATGAAAGATTTCTAGCTAAGAAACATGTCAGCATCTTTCAGCTTTGGCATTTCTTACTATTAATAATAGACTAGAGTTAGCCTACCCAAAAGTAAAAGATAGGGAAAGCCCTCCTTTCTAAGACATAGTTTGCTTTAATAATAATAATAATAATATAATGGACAAAGTATTTATGTAGTTTTTAACTTCCATAAAGATCAAGTGGTAGACAAGGCAACTCAGAAAATCAATTCCTGGAAGCACCTTTGTTATACATGATTTCTTAAACAGTGTGTGTGTTACGAGCAAATACCAACTACTCCACCCGCCAAACCAAACCCAACCCAATGCCACCGAATTGACGCCAAGTCACAGCAACCTATACAGGGCTTCCGCGGCTGCCAATCCCTCCAGGAGCAGACAGCCTTACCCTTCTCCCTTGGGGCAGCCAGTGGTCTGGTGAATGCTGTGGTTAACAGTCCACTGCTTACCTGGCAGTGCCACCAAGGCCCCTGGGTATTGGCTCATCAACAACCTTTAACTCAAAGGTACTTTTGAAAAAAAAAACAAGACGAAAACCATCCATTACCTAGCTAGTGTCTGCAGGTAAAGACAAGGCATCTTCACGGGCAGATCCTCAGAGATGCCCTCTTTCACGCTGGGCAGCTGTGACTGGAAGGGTTTCGCGGGGTGGTAGCACAGGATGCTCGGCTCCGCGGCACTGCTCAGCGACAGCAGGAAGAGCGCATTGGCTTTAATCACCTGGTGCGCTTCCATCGTGGGCAGGGCCCGGGGAGTCTTGACTTGCATTGGCTTTCTCCTGGATGGCTTGACCTGGCAAAGTCAAATGCCAGTTTGTAGTAAACCTGCCTGACTTTCATTGACAATTGTCAGTTCTTAAGCTAAGTGTTTTGGATTTCTGGTAGTAATGATTTAACATCAGTAGTAACAGTATGCGACTAGTTTCCAAGCTACAGGTAGCACAAGAATGACAGACTGGGAGGGGAAAATACAAAAGGGAAGAGATGCTCAATATAATTATTTAAATTAGTAGAACTATTTTAAAATAATGCCAGTGGTAGCCAAAAACAACATGCACTTCAGGCTTCTCTGACAGAAATGACTTTATATTGAATACCAACTGTATTGCTTTTCTCTGCCTAAAATACACACACACACACACATATACGTATATATGGGTACATAGTCTAGTACAGGCTATGTTTTCCAAACCAAACCAAACTCACTGCCATTGAGCTGATTCCAACTCATAGCAATGCTACAGGACCGGAAGAATGAATGGGCCCCTCTGGGTTTCTGAGACGGAAAGGCTTTATGGGAGCAGAGAGCTGCATCTTTCTCCCATGGCTTAGCGGCCCAACACAACCACGATTTCAGAGATTTTTTTCCCCCACTGGGATTGCCACTAGCGTGAATGATGCTGCACTGCCGCTAGTCCTCCAATAGAATTAGCGATTAAAATAAAGGAGAGGCAAAAAAGAAGAAGAGGAGTTGAGAGAGAGAGAAAGGTAAAGAGGAAGAGACATGTGTATGTAGCGGGTGGACAATTAATAAAGAACTACACAACAAATGGCAGGACGCTTTAGAAACACTGTGGAAAAATGGAATGAAGAGATCATGGAATTTTCCCAGGAGCTTTTTGAAGCCTCACTCTGCTCTCTCGAGTCAATGTGGACCACAGGTGAGTGGTCTTATCTTCTCCCAAACTATAGTTTATTTTTGTAATGAAAGGAGCTGACCCAGCAAAAGTACCCTATTTTAACTTTATTTCTACTATATAAGCGTATCTTTATGTAGAGTTTCTCTGATGTAATGATATGATCACAAAGGCATTTTTATTTTTACGAGGCTTATCCATATCATGAACAACACAAGCCCAGAACAGAGTGAAAATACCTTCTCCCTTGCAGCAGCCTGCTTTTCACGGAGGTACTTTTCTCTACAGCGGTCACATACCAGATACCAAGTGCTTCCTCCTAGGCCACCATCACCACAGTTGCCTGCCCAGCCTCCACAAAAATGTCCAATGCTATTGTAACCTTGTCCACCAGCATACCGGCCACAACCTGGAGCAATTGCAAAATAAATCTTTAGTGCCGTGGACAGGGCCATCCTCCTATTCACACATTCATGACAGATTAGATTTTTTTCCCCCTCTCTTAGAAAACTAGCACGCTTGACTATAAAAGTATTCAATTAAAGGGTGTCCAAAATATTAGTGTAGTCTATTCCTAGACTTAGCAAAGCAAGACAAAAATGACAGAATGTGGACACATTTTTATTTATCTAAGTATAGCAATACAATTGAAACGAGCAACAATAAAAACTATTAGAAATCTTCTGTGAAGAAGTTTATCATTTAAGAAATACGTATATTTCTAAAAGACTTCAGGTATTATATGTAGAAAGTGAAAACATTGTACAAAACTCATACATTTAAAAACGCTAATCCACATATTGAGTTGCTATTGAATTCTTAATAGTTATCCAAGACGCAGTCTTTTGATAAAACAAAAGGTATCATTTTCTTAAGAAAATACCGAAAGAAATCAATACTGTCTGATTTGGTTGGTAACTTGGAACAGGAAAAACATTGAAATCACCAAATCAAAACCAAACTTCACTCCCATCAATACTGACTAGGCGACTCTACAGGGCAGGGAGACTGTCCCTGTGGGTTTCCGAGACTGCAACTCTGTATGGACACAGAAAGCTCCATCTCTCTTGCAAGGAGTGGCTGGTGGTTTCAAACTGCTGACCTTTCGGATTGCAGTCCAACGTATAACCACTACGTCACCAAGGCTCCGTTACTGAGATCTGTCATATGAGTATATGCATTTCATTATTTCTATTTTGTGAGACATCTTAATATCCAGGGGGATTAAAAAAGTTTGCGGGGAAATTTCATTAACTTTTAATTCCATTTCTCAACAAACTTGTTGAAGACCACCCCTCCCCAATTCCTCCAACTGTACCCCTGTGGTATTCTCTGAGTAATACACAGAATATTTTAAAAGCGTTTCAAATTGTGATACATTAAAACGAGACAGCAACAAATGCCAACCTAATCATTTAAACTTCCTTACCTATATTTAGCAGAAACTACACTGATAATGTACTTTCAAAATGACATTCTAAGGCAATACATGTGTGTGTGTGTATGTGTGTATACACACACACACACATGTATTGCCTTAGAATGTCATTATATGGATATTCTGGACAACCGATTCCCTATATTTTGAGAGAACAATACCTCAAGTCAAGCGTAACTTATTTAAAAAAAGACCAGAGAGGCAGGCACTCTTAGCTATTTCCCAGCACCGGGCTCACCTGGGTGTGCTTGTCTCATGTGATAGGTCACCGGGTAAGGATGGGACTCTCCACACAGCTCACAGATGGTGTCCTTCTCTGGGCCTCCAACTGCCAGCTGGGCCATTTCACCGAACAAATTACCCCTGGGCCGAACTTCCGCCTTCTCTTTTTTCTTTTTTTCCTTTTTGGCCTTTTTATTCTCTTTCTCGCACTCTTTCTTCTTGAGGACGGCACAAGAACCAGGACTTGGAAAAATCATATTCTGGGAAGCTGCTTTGATGGTCGCCAGAGAGATGTCTTCCCAGAAGGCCACTAAATGTTGCAGAGTTAAGGGGAGAGGCGATTTAGACTTCATGGTGTGGTGCATGGACATTTCAAAAGTGGCTTCGGATTTTCCATCCTCACACTTTTCGTGCAGGGGGGGCTCCTTGAGCATGGACAAGACCTTGTTTTTGTTGATGCTGCCCATTTTAGAGATGTCTGGTCCGTGGGGTGCGATATTAAACATGTTAAGGGCAGAGGAGATTTCCAACGAGTGTCTGTTTTTCAACTTGGTTTCCTTTTCCTCTGTGGGCTGCTGGCTATTTAAACTACTCCTGACGGGCGCGTGTTCTTTGGAGAGCTCAGGGTTGAATTTGAGGAAGGAGGAGCAGGCCATAGCATCGTGGACGATGCCCTCGTGCCAAAGGAAAGAGGCAAAGACCGCGCGGGCACACTCGGCCACAGAAGGGGACATGGCTCGTTTGGCTGGTTCCAAAGGCTTGGACCCATCGCTTTTGAAAAGGAAGTTGGATTTCTCCTTCTTGGGCCTTGTGTGCCTGTTAGCACACTTGCGGCTTATTTTGGGCGAAGCTCTCATTTCCTGTTCGTCTTTCAGTGGTGCTTTGCCTATGCTGAAGTGCACTTTATTCGAACCTTCATCCACACTCTTAAATTCACCGCTGTCGTCGCAGGTGCTGTCTGTGAGGCTATTGGTCTTTAAAGTGCTTGACGTGCAGACCTCAACCACCTCACTGTGAAGGTTTTCCTGCACCACGTGGGGGGAGGGAGCTCTATTCTCCGATCCAGGGGAACTTTTAGAATCCTTTGGTACCGATTTCGGCTTGGGCGACGTTGACCGCCCCCTTAATGGCTCGGTCAGGGGCATTTTCTTCTTGCGTAGGGTATCTGGATCCAGGGTGTAGGAGTCCGACTTGGAACGTTCCCGAGGAGGATCCAGTTTTGTCTTCGCGGGAGCAGTGGTTTTCTGAGGTAGATTTTTATCATGTGGGGAGGAGGAGCGTGGAGAACTAGCACCAGACGGGCTAGTCCTGTTGGCTGGGAGGGTCTTTGGCTTCGGAGATGACGACCGAGAACCCGGTCCCGGGGACTCGGCTCTGAGGCTACAAGACATCCTCCCATCCGATTTTAATGTCTGCAAGGTGTTATGGTTGGGGGACAGTGACCTACTGTGAGAGTCTGACCTCAACTTGGCAGCATCCGATTTCAACATGAGGGACTCACTAGCGGACAACCCTTCTGTGGCCCGGGGCTTCTTCTGGTCACTGGTTGTGCGGCTCACACGCCCATCTGGTTTAAGTGACTTGTTGTGTTTGGAGGACGGTTCCGCTTTTCCTGATGTACAGACCGGTCTTGGAGACGTGGAGACATTTCCTCGGTCACCTGTGTAGCCCACGTCATAGTGAAACATGTTAGCAACACTATACTTTAGGGATAGTTCAACAAATAAACATTGAAAAAATTTTTTTAATTGCTAAAATTTTCTATTACTAGATTAAATCACAGGAATAACTAGGGGATGAAAAAAGAAACACATCTCATAACATTTCTGTACATCACTATCAACCGTTACCATTGAAACTACTCTCGTGGATTCAGAAACAAACTGAACAATTAGTATATATGCAACAGTAAGACTTTTCAGTAAGATTGCAATCTCAGCTCTTATACTATAAATAGAATTTACAGCTTCACTTAGTGCCTAGAGAGAAAAAACTTTTAACTGCCTTTGTGTGGAAAGCAGAAATTAAGCTAATTTTATACTATTAAGAAGGGCTACATTTCCAGTATAATGAAATACCTCACATATTTAGGGAAATAATGTAAATTTTGAGGATTTATGAAACGGAATTTATTCTTTTTATCATTTTCAAGCATACAAATAAATGCAATTAGGTTATTAGAATGCTTAGGAGGCAACCTTTTTAATGAATTTGTGATTAGCATATGAGTGCTACAGAGTTATTATTTAATCACACCTAACTCAGGTGGACTGGCTCCCCGTGCTACTCTGTGTCATTATGTGTGCCACTGGTGGATCAGACCCGGGCTGCCTTCTCCCGCACTAAGTGTCATAGCCTTCAGTATTACCGTTACCTCCTGAAGTCATGTCCTTTTGCTTCATGTGCATGTGCATGCATGTGTGTGCATCCGTACTTGACATCACACTCTGTCGATCTGGCCAGCACAGTGCTGCCTCAGGACATTACATCAATGTCAAGAAGAGCACCTGAAATATAGTAGGTGCTGAACAAGCGTTGTTGAATACATAGATTCCCCACACGCTTCCCATTTTTCAATTCTACTTCTAAAGAGGCCTTTCCCTCCAACTGTGAGACCAAAGGCCATGGAGGGGCAGCAGCAATAGCTGTTGTAGAAAGGTGGGTTAGATGTCTGCACAACGAGTAATGCTGTCGTACAACAACAGGGCCCAGCACAAGCTTTGAAGCGCAGGCGTATAAACTGGATATTTATTTTACTTGCAACACGCCAGTGTTGACAATAATGAATCTCACTTGGGGATGAATGAAAGTATACTATACTGAGCATAGTGCTTGACGGTTCAGCAGTATTGTAGCATCCTACCATGACCACCACTTGTCACACATGAACTGCCTCTATACATGGTATATGAGACTGGGGCTCAATTTGGAAAAAATAATGGAAACTCCCCCCCCCACCAGTTTCAGAGAACAATTCTAGATATTAATATTCTTTTGGTAGAGCACAGATAAACAGAAGTTATGGTCTTGATAAAGAAGTGCTTGCAGACTGCTAAGATACAGATAAACTACTACCCATCTCCTTTTATTACTATAGTAATAACAGAGCAAATTTTAAAAAGCAAATACCTTATTTTTGAAGACTCAAACATCAATCTAGTTCTTGCCTTATTACTAATTTAGTGCGTCATGTCTGGCACATTGCTTTTTCTGATCTGATAGCTGGACACGTCTTCAAGGTCCTCACCATCATACTTATTCAAAGGTTGAACCATGTACTCACAATGGTGGATGTAGATACATAAATAAAACACAAATCTTCCATCACCGGCACCTGTCTCCAAAGGGTCCCCTTTTTAGACACTGAAACAGGTTTGCTCTTTAATTTATAAAGAAGGCCAGTTTGTTTTAGGATTCCTTATAATGAAGGTTATAATTATGGACAAAGACTGTCCACTTGTCTCAGATATTTCCTAATGTCTTATTTGCACACCTGTTACAAGCAAAAGAATTGTGAATATATGCTGATGCCCTATCTACTCCTAGCAGGACACAACTTGAAGTGGCCTTTGACCTTTACTCATAATGAGGAACATCACTAGTCAAAGGCAAAACCACCATCTTTCTCTTTGGGAAAAAGATGAGGCTTTCTACAGTTTCAGGAACCCAAATGGGCAGTTCTCTCCTGTCCTATAGGGTCACCATGAGCCGGAATTGACTTGATGATAATGAGTGAGTGACTGAGTGCCTCCTTCCTTGAAGCATTGATAAGCACAAGTATTTATTAAACATTCAGAACAGACATAGTATTTTCACAGTCTTCAATTAATTTAATGTATTTATAATATGTAAGTGTAAATAATAAGACAAAAACAGACTAAAAACATTTTCTAAGCTTAAAGGTATTCTGAAAAAATAATAATAGAGGACAGCGTAGATATTTAGTTTCTTGAAATACATTAGTAAACATGTTAGATATTTATTTACTAAGTGACCTACATGATTTTTTCATTCTAAAATTATAAATTATCAGGTTATATACAAAATGCCCTAAGATAATGATATACTATAATATGATGTCAAAATATATCATATATATGACACATAATACTATATGGTATAGACAATAGTATATGGTACACAGATCAGGTTACAAAACAACATTTACGATGGTATAATATTATATAGTATCACTGTCTACTTTACAATGGATAATTTTAAAACTCTTTTATCCAGTTCTAAGAAAAATAGGTAATCTGTAATTACTTTAAAAACGAATGTACTACTTTAGTCATTGCTTCCAAACTTCTTTGTATTTTTTCCCCTTAATATATGGGATTTTGTGCCAAGATCACTAAGTCAAATTATAGAACTTGAACTTATCAAAGGGTTTATCAAAAACAAAAAGAATGAAATGATTTTTTTACTACAAAACAGAAAATTGAACTTCAAAAGAAACTGCTACATATTATAAAACAAAATATATTCTTATGCTTCATGCCTTACACACGAATCATTGCATTTGAATCACAATAATTTAATTCCCCAAATTAGGCATTTCTTCTGGTGGACACCTACTTTAATTTTTAAGGTCTCACACAGGTTTGATACAATAAAATTAGAATAATATTTAACCTACATATACAATAAATATGCATATAAAATTAGGATTGCTATACTAGAATACTAAATAGATACAAAAATTATAAAGACACAACATTCCAAATTTCAATACAAAAAGTGGGATGGAGTGAAAATGACCCACAGTGACTGAAAGCTCCCCTGCTGACCAGGAGGACCATCCATGAGTGCAGGCATACCCACCCTGGAGTTTGTGAGACAGAGAGGAGAGAGCAGAAGCAGGCCCAGCTACACCATGATTTGAGTAAATGCGCTCACGAGAAGCAAGGTTGCGAGATGGAGATTCTACAGTGGAAAACATTGGCAAAGAAGCAGCACAGATTCAATGGAAAAAAAAAAATGTTGGCAGAGCACACAAGCACAAAGCATTTCTAATGGCATATGACTAAGAGTGGCTAAAAAATTGTATTCTGCTACATTTTCCAACAACTAAAAATTTTTTAAGTTCTCTAAAATTAAAACCAGAAACCAAGGTCAAATCATTAATTTAAATTCATAATGATGGCTCCAAATGATCACTTACATGGTAAGGCTCACAGGCTGATAAACTGAGGTAGAAATTTCTTTTTTATTTAAAACACATACACACACACACAGCACAAGTTATTTTTAATTGGGTGTTCATTTACTTAGAAGGATGTATAATACTTTTTCATAAATATTAGTAAATAAATATTATTTAGTTCAACCTATTGCCTCCTTGTTTTCTGGATGAATGCATGACTATGGTTTTTCCCGTACGTATCTCAGCAATGACTCAAGGTGACCCTTATGGCGGATGCCTTCTCCTGAGCCCACCTCCAGTGACAAACGTTAATGCTAACCACAAAACATGGTCTGTTTTGTAGCTACCATTATTGGATACCAGTTTTACTTAAAATACATTTTGAAATAAGGGAGCAAGTATCTTATTTTTACAAGGTACTGCAAAAGGATAGGCACATTAATAGTTTACATCATGCAAAGACACAAAAAATTTAAAATTAAATAATTTATCTCTTGCTCAAATAATTAATGGAACATTTGGAATAATTAAAAACAGCAAGCTAAAACAAATCTTGATTTAAAGTGGAAAAACCCTCAATGTTATTTAAAGTTGTATTTATTTTTATTTAAAACTTTAACTCAGAGCAATAAAATTAGTTTTACCTGTTGAGCAGAAGCAAATTTTGCTAACACAGAGATAACTCTCTTAGTATTATTGACATTAAAAACAAGGTAGCAAACAAAACAATCAAATCCATTACAATATACTCTTTTGCTCAAAACAGAAAATGTCCTAGTTGACTGATTTATAATTCTGGCCGTAAAGGAAAAATGAAACAACATAGGTTAAGAAGTCATTTGATGTAAGGTACTGCCTATCTTCTCTGTGCCAGGCACTGGGATACAACAATTAAGAAAAACCAACACAAGACTCTCCTTTTTATGGAGCTGAAAGCAGAAAAGCAATAAATAAATACATATTATATCAGGTAGACCCACAATCAGTGCTCATGGAAGCAGAAGTCAAGGATCAAATGATGGACTGCACTGGGCATAAGACCTTTTGAAAGTGTTGAAAATTGAGGAGGTACCTTTGAGGACTAAGGTGGGCCTGACCCAAGCAATGGTATTTTCAATGGCTTCATATGCATGAGAAAACGACACTGAACAAGGAAACGGAATTAAGGTGCTAGAGAAAAATCCTAAAAGTATCATGCACTGCCAAAAGAACAAACAGTATCAGTGGCCCTAGGGGCAAGGATGGTGAGACTTTGTCTCACGTGCTGTGGACATGTGGTAAGCTGAGAGCAGACCCTGCGGTGATGGCGAGGAAGTCCCTCAACAAGACGGACTGGCACAGTGGCTGCAACAGCGGACTTGGACATCAGGACAACTGTGAGGAGGGTGCAGGGCCAGGCGTGTTTTCTTCTGTGGGCCATAGGGTCGCTATGGGTCGGAACCGGTTTGGTGGCCCTAACAACAACATCAGGTGGCGATACATTTGGATAATATTCCATAACATAAAGAGGCCAC